TATTTAAAAAAAAATATCTTCAGTTTCATGTAAAAAGTCAACAAATCTTCAGCATCAGAGGCGTGAGAAAGCTTGTAGGGAGTCTGTCCTGCATTAAGGCTCATTATCATGTGAACAGACACACTTCTATTGTTGTGTGTGTGGGAAACTCTGGAGAACAGAGCTCATTAGCATCCTAAACCCCAACACAAGCTCAAGATTTGACAAACATCCTGAGCTTTTAAAATGACTAAACTTTTGCATCAGGCGCTAAAGACACTTGTCATCTAAACAAACAATGAGCACAAATGTAACTCAAATTTTATTTGCTGCTAAAAAATTAAAAACAAAAGTGATGTTTCACATATTCAGTAATATATTTTTTGCATATTCTCATTGCATGAAAATAATTCTGATCAGAAAGTGTTTGATAACTCACTGACTCCTGCATCAAGTCAGGACATGTTGCTGTGCATCAGGAGGTTTCCCTCCAGATGGTTGGTGACGTCAGGTTGAAGTCTTCAGTGTCACTAATGCTTCATTCAGGACTCTGGATGCTTTTGTGCTCCATTGATGTGAACACAGAGAGTCAGTGTGGGAACCTCACATGAGATCAACTCACACTGACCAGCACAAACACACACACATCTGCTTCATCTGGAGTCCATCATGTGTGTGTGACGTCACTGCAGCAATGATAATCCAGAATATTGTGAATTATGACACTAAATATCTGACTTGAAATGTTGATCTTTATGCACAAACACATAAATAAATCCATATGTATCCAAATAATACTGTAACAACTTGACTTGGCATAGAAGATTATTTTATATAGTTTTATAAACAGAATATATTATAATATTTTAGCTTGATATTACACTATGGAATGCAAATGAAAACACTTTTTGTATAAAGTACACAGTAATTCAGATCACATGTCTAAGAATGCCATGACTTTGATATCATCATATGTGCTCACTGACTCCACGTGTTTTACAGTAACCAGCAGCACATACTGAAATCTACACTAGACTCAGTGGACTATTATGCTTTCAGTTTCTATTTTTGAGAAAAAGTGATTCATGAGTTCCAGTTTGGAAGAGACATTTGCACTGCTAAGTGCTCTGATGATTCGATCTTCTATGAAGATTACACTTCAAGTTCCAGATGGGAACATTTCCTGACGTCTGTATTAGACAACATTTACTTTTACATTCTTCATGTGATGTGAAGGAAACTCTTTCTTTATTACTTTAAAGGACATTTATAATCTGATAACAGACCCAAGCTTTGTTCTAAGAGCTGATAAAGACTGTTTACACAGCAAATATTATATGAAATGTTATAATTTCTTGATATTAATTGATGGCAAGAAATCTTGCTTCATTATTAATTCTGTGCTGTTTGTATGAAGTAGCTCAGATTGGGCTCATATTTGATTTCCTCTGATCATCATACAGATGCGTCATGATTCATATTTGATCTTTTTCTTTGATGGGAACATATACTGACGTCTATATTAGACAACATTGAATTTTCTTCATTCTTCATGTGATATGAAGGAAAAACTTTCTTTACTTTTATTATTGTTCTGTTTCAGCACTGTCAGACTAAATGATTTTATCTAATAGCTTTCTCTGAAAGTTTCCTACGCTGGATATTTATACAATAATTTGACCACATACAATATATAAACAAAGTATGATTTTCCTGTTTTTGAGAAATTCTTTAATGTATTGTTAAATACTCGTTTTCATCTTCAGTGAAGACTTTCTGCGAATGAACCCGTGATTGATTGATTTATTAAATCTGGATTTGTTTGATTAACATCTTTAATCTGAACTTGCTTTTATATAAGCAAGTTTTACTGTTTTCTCAGAAATATTTTTCATTCTTTGAAAAGTTCTGTGATTGTTAAAGTTCCGTCATGTTTGATATTGTACTTTTGATGTTTTACAGTCACTATGTGACTCTTCTGAAAAGCAGTGATTTCTAAATGATCATTATTCTCATTGCGAGAAATGTGTTTAATCATAAACAATGCTTAAGTTTTGTGTTGTTGAATATGTTGATATGTCTTTTGAAAAGACTGTTATGATGTTCAAACTCTGCTCTATTGAGAGCACAAATGTATTTAGGAGATTCTCCAAGCACATGTTGTGATATATTATCACTGAATGATGCTATTTCCTCAATGACAAAACAATTATTTGTGAAAATAAAATCATTTGACCTTATTTCTGTCTCTGCATTTTGCCATTTTTTCTTTATATGCAGACAAAAACGTACATAATCTAACTTAAAGTACTGTGTCACTTTTGCATAAACTACACCTTACTGGCGGAAGAACATTGTTTTGGTCATTATGTGAGTTGTGCTTCGGCTGCGCGGATGAATCTGATATCTTGAGCCGCGTGCTGTGCTCGTGTTTACAGAGGATCACATGATCAGTGAATCTCATTAATGACATCAAAACTCTCCCAATAACGAAAGACGGATATCCCAGAAATATGTCTTATGAGCAGGTAAGCAGCTGTTGTTCTGACTGGAAAACAATCATTTTAAAATAGCGTACATTACAAAAGTTTGGCAGCGCTGAATGTGATGCTATTCAAATTATGTTGATTGGTGTTTTATTACAGGTTCTGTCTCTTTTCCCTTTTTGCTTGCAAACTCTTCCATTCGAGGTTCATTTGTTGTGACTTCAATCTACTTCAACTGCATATTGTAATGTAGTCAGGCCTTCTTTCCTTTATTTACGGATATGACGTAAACACGCACGGACGAATGATGAAAGAATGCAGTTTCCCGGGAAATCGATCCCGACAGCTTTAAAATATAAATAGTGATTATACAGGCTTAACATAGTGGTTTAGGGTAAAGCAAGATTGTTTCATGATGTACTGGCTCATTATTTAAATTTATATCTTTTTGAACAAAAAAGTTATAGCTTTAAAATATATAACAAACAACAAAGCATTAATAATAATTATTATTATTATAGAAAGTAAATTCTTATAACATCTGAATGAAATATTGTTTGTAATTGTTTTGTAATTCTTACAATAAATACTTGACTGTGTTTGGTCAATAGCGCTATCCAGCAGTTTGATATTTCCTAAAGCTGCGTCCCAATTCAAATTGTCCCTACGTAGTGATCACTGCTGCCTACCCAGTGAGGGTTATATAAAGTTCATTTCACTTGAAAAAATGCGTTTATTTTGGACACAATGAAATACAGACGAAACTTGAGTTTGGAGCGTGATTGCATAATATACTTAAAATGTTTTATAAAGTTAAAAATGACCATACTTTCATTTATATACATGTGTATATTATATCCAGTGTTGGGGAAAGTTACTTTTAAAAGTAATGCATTACAATATTGCGTTACTCCCTAAAAAAGTAACTAATTACGTTACTTAGTTACTTTTTATGGAAAGTAATGCGTTATATTACTTTTGCGTTACTTTCACGTTACTTTTTAAATATAAGCAGGGCTTGATTGTTTTTAATATAAGAAATTCTATTTATAGCAAATATAAAGGCCCTTTCACACCAAAAAGTGTAATAAATAAACCTCAGGCTGTAGCAAAAGTAAATTCACGTCTGTACAGTAGAACGCAGGAGAAGAAACACTCTTCAGCAATAAAAAAACAATGCACAATTGTTAGTTTCTCTAAAGTCATTTTTGCTTATTAGTATGGTTGAACTGGATCAGCAAAGGTCAGCAGCAAAGACATTAGTTACTAAAATGGAATTAGATACTTATGATACATAGAAATAATATGTTATTTAACATATTTAATTATCGCAGGTTTGCGTCATATTCTGAGTGGCATTACTTTTTCGAAAAAGTAACTCAGGTATTTTCTTGTAAATTAAAAAAGTAATGCGTTACTTTACTAGTTACTTGAAAAAAGTAATCTGATTACGTAACTCGCATTACTTGTAATGAGTTACCCCCAACACTGATTATATCCATGTGTATTTTTTTTAATTTTAATTATCATAAATATTAATTCACATACTATACGCCATAAATTGTGAGTGATTTAAATGTCTGTTGCAATGTTTGATATGGAAACAAACGTGATTTGGTTATATTGGATGTGTCGTCTTAAAAAATGTAACCCATAATCATGATATTTGCATTTTAATTGTTGGATTTAATGTAGTGAAAATGACCTCGGGGACTTAACAAATATTATGGAAATATTGTTTTGAATCAGTATTTCCTGCCCATGTATTTATATATTTGGTGAGAAGCCGGCAGGTTTTATCTTGCACTTAAATTATATATTTGTACATTCATATATAAATAAGTAGTTTTATTTTAAGAAATTAGTCTTCAGATTCATGTAAGAATATATGTTTATTTCAAGAAATCTTCAGCATCAGAGGCGTGAGAAAGCTTGTAGGGAGTCTGTCCTGCATTAAGGCTCATTATCATGTGAACAGACACACTTCTATTGTTGTGTGTGTGGGAAACTCTGGAGAACAGAGCTCATTAGCATCCTAAACCCCAACACAAGCTCAAGATTTGACAAACACACAAGAGAGTCGACACACTTCTGGATATTTACATACATCAGAATCACATATAAAGATGGTTCAGTGTTTTTTACTGCCATACTCTGTAATTAATTCACTTCTGTTGAGTGTGATGCCTGGGGATGTACATGGACTGATTTATTTTCCTTTAATGGAATATTTTAACTGTCAACTACCTTGACATTAAGCGCTAAATGTTTCTGTTACGCTTTGCTTTTACCCCTCATGTGGAGGAATGTTAATAATGATTTGTAGTAAATGTCACATGACTTTTGTAAAGTTCAGTAATATTTGTTGTGAGTTCCAATATGTGTTTAATGTATTTTGGAGATCTCTTCATGCAGATTTTGTGATATGTTATCACCTGTTTATTTGCATTCATGGTGACATCATGTCATCACAAAACATGCAAAATAATAATAAAAAAAGTCAAATATACTTTCTGCTGTTGTATTCTGTCTTGTCATGAAATATAATTTTAAACATGAGCCTAAAGAGAAAAGAATATGCATGTTTACCAGAATAAATATGCAAATTTATATATACAATAAAACATATATGTATACATATATTTATAAAGCACTTGTATTCAGTGTATTATTTATATTAAAATGTCTTAATAATTCTTCCACAAGCAAAATTGACCAATTTGTCTAAAAAAAACATGATTGACACAAAAAAAGCTCTTAATGTACAGCAAGAATTAAAAATGAGGATAGAAAATCTAAAATGTTGTGATTATGCCCTCTTGCATTTCTTTTTGTGAACATTCTCATCAAAATCGTTTCTAAAATTTAGATAGATATAGTCATTTGAATTTTGAATTAGATCCCACTGGTAAATTATGCCAATTAAGTCCTTGGCATTTAATAATTTAATTCTACTATAGTGACTTGAAGTGACAAAAATATATATTTTCTCAAATATTAATCATCCAAATCGTTGTATGACAGGAAACTGTAAACAACCAGATATTTTAATTTCACATATTCATTCTTGGAAAATATGGATTATTTTATCTGCAAAATGTAAAGAGACAGAATGGATTGTCAACTATTTAAATCATGTTGAAAGTGTATCAGATTCCTAATTGATTCATATCGCTTGTGTTAGAGAACCAACTAACAGCCAGTTTGATCAGTTTAAGTCATTTAAACATTTGGAGACGTGTGTCTGCTGCGGGTTTCAGTAGGACACACGTCTATTGTTGTGTAATTGAATTTAGTGAATGAACAGAGCGTGAGAAACAGAACTCACTCAAAGACCCTCAGAGACAATAGAACTCAACTAAGAGTCCAGGGGTCTGAGGTCAGCATCAATGGATTGGACTTTAACTTTATACTATTTCAACTTCGTACACTGATTGTATAAGTCCAAAATGAAAAGAACTGAATCATATTTTTTATTTGAAGAAATTAGTCTTCAGATTCATGTAAGAATGTATGTTTATTTCAACAAATCTTCAGCGTGAGAAAGGTGAGAAAGCTTGTAGGGAGTCTGTCCTGCATTAAGGCTCATTATCATGTGAACAGACACGTTGTGTGTGTTGTGTGTGTGGGAAACTCTGGAGAACAGAGCTCATTAGCATCCTAAACCCCAACACAAGCTCAAGATTTGACAAACACACAAGAGAGTCGACACACTTCTGGATATTTACATACATGAGCTTGACAAGCTACTTTTATGATGTCACTGATGATGTCATCAGCAGCGTGAACAGAATTCCTGCACTATCACCGTTTATTTTCCTTTATGCATCCTGAGCTTTTAAAATGACTAAACTTTTGCATCAGGCGCTTAAGACACTTGTCATCTAAACAAACATTTAACACAAATGTAACTCATTTTATTTGCTGCTAAAAAATAAAAACAAAAAGTGATGTTTCACGTATTCAGTAATAATTTTTTTGCATATTCTCATTGCATGAAAATAATTCTGATCAGAAAGTGTTTGATAACTCACTGACTCCTGCATCAAGTCAGGACATGTTGCTGTGCATCAGGAGGTTTCCCTCCAGATGGTTGGTGACGTCAGGTTGATCACTGAGTCTTCAGCGTCACTAAAGCTCCATTCAGGACTCTGATGCTTTTGTGCTCCATTGATGTGAACACAGAGAGTCAGTGTGGGAACCTCACATGAGATCAACTCACACTGACCAGCACAAACACACACACATCTGCTTCATCTGGAGTCCATCATGTGTGTGTGACGTCACTGCAGCAATGATAATCCAAAATATTGTGAATTATGACACTAAATATCTGCACTTACTTCTGTGAGAAGTAATATGTATCCAATAGTACTGTAACAACTTGACTTGGCATAGAAGATTATTTTATATAGTTTTATAAACAGAATATATTATAATATTTTATCCTTATATCAAACTCAGGAATGCAAATTAAAACTCTGCTTTGTGTAAAGTACCAGTAATTCAGATCACATGTCGAAGAATGCCATGACTTTGATATCATCATATGTGCTCACTGACTCCACGTGTTTCTAGTAATGATGAGCGTGTGCTGCTTCAGTGACATTGATGTGAAGATGAGCTCTCAGCACTTTCCCAGAGTCCCCCTCCACCTGCTCCTTTGAGCCCCTGATGGAGGATCATTGAGCATGTGGCGGCCCACATCCCTCATTGTCTGTTTGAGCTCTTCCATTGGCTCCAAACTGTGAGAAACTCCAACAAGCTCAAGCCTCACACATTCATATGGAGATTTGGGAGTATAAATAGAGGAGCTGCAGCCAGTGCAAATCAGACTCACTCTGAACAGAGAGATCTACAGCACAGAGATCCAGACATGACACCTACAATCATCTCAAAGGAGCTTCTCCCTCTCAACAACAAGGTACATTCACATCCTACTTACAGCAGCATTACTGCAGCAGCTTTCACGGCTCTTCTCAATCACTGGTTTATTCGAAGGCCACTTTCCTGATGCTTTTCTGTCTTCATTTGCAGCTGAGAAAGCCGATGGTGGAGAAGATGTGCAGAGATCGTATCAACAGCAGCATCGAGCAGCTCAAGTGTCTTCTGGCTCCAGAGTTTCTCAAGCAGCAGCCTGATTCCAAGCTGGAGGAAGCAGATATCCTGGAGATGACGCTTAACTTCCTGAACCGTCACAATTGTGTGTCGGTGAGATTGTGCACTTCCTGTCCAAAGATGAGATGAAGACACAGAGCCAGAGAAGACGAAGCACTTCCAGAAGCTGCAGACATCATGTGAACAGAACAGGAGGGAAAGTGTCCTGCCAGACCAGAAGACCTTCAGCAAAGACATGAATGTCAACAAGAGCGCCATCTGGAGGCCTTGGTAGAGCCTTAAAGACTCAGACTGAACGTCTACACTAGATTTATTGGACCATTACGCTTTTAGTTTCTCTTTTTGAAGAAAAGTGTTTCACCAGTTCCAGTTTGAAAGATGATTCTGATGATTCGATCTTCTATGAAGTCTTCACTTCAAGTTCCAGATGGGAACATTTACTGACGTCTGTATTAGACAACATTGACTTTAAGATACATCTGCATGTGATGTGAAGGAAATCCCCTGATGATTCAGTCTTCTATGAAGACTTATTTTTTTCTCTTTTTGAGAAAATGTCCTTTAACTATGTTTAGTTTAAAATATAGCTTGCATTGCAAAATACCATAATGGCACACTATTTTCTGCAGGTCCTTAGACTTATTAGTCTAAAAGTGCATTAATGCATTTTTCATATCCTTTGGGTATAATTTTCACATTTGAGGTGATGCATTATGTGACTGTAAAGTCAAATCAGCTTTATTTTTGTTTTATTTTGAAATACCTTTATTTGCAAATGGCAAAAAGCATTTATTGATCTTTTTGATCATATTTATTGTTTGGAAAAATTATACCTGTGTCAGTATGTCACTCTCCTCTATGAGGATTTTCTACAAATGAAATTACATTTTTCTAATTCTGAAAAGACATGTGAAATCCCTCCATGAGGGTTAATGTAAAACTCTTACCTGCATTGATTAAGTATAGAGATCTTCATCTATATATGCACACTCTATATACTGCTGTATATGTTACTGTATTTACATTATTGTAAATCTGCTGATATTATGTGTTTTGGACACATTTATTGACATTTTTGATGTGATCAATGTCCTCCAGAGGGCGTTTCTCTGCTTAGAGCTTCAGTTTAATGAAGCAGCATGTATTGAAACAAATGCTTTCAACAGTGAAAGTAATGTGTATGAGAAATATTTTCCATACATAAGAAAAATAAACAAAGCTCAACTCTACTACTGAACGTGGTTTCATTTATTTTAGCATCAGTGAATAAAATCATGTTTAGAGGTAGAAACTAAAATGCCTCAATGTGTTTAAACACTGAATTTACACTTAATGTTTGAATGACATTGCATTAGATAACAAAATTTTAAGTGTCCGTATCTGACATTCATACTGTAGTGTGACGTAAGTGTTCAAATACTGTTAGTAGCTACTGAATACATAATGAATGTGATGTTCAGTAGACAGACATCTATTGTGTAATTGAACTGAGTGAATGAATAGAGTGTGAGAAATAAACCCTCAGAGACAATAGAGCTCAACTAGAGAACAGGGGTCATTTGAAACTTTTATAGGTCCATCGTGGTGCTCTATTTCTTAAACTTTCATTCACATGCATAGATTTCCAAAATTTGGGCATTATTAGGAGGTTTGCAGAAAGAGCCTTGGGACATTATAAACACTAATACTATTTATTTATTTTTTAAATTTGAAACTACGGAAACATATAGAATGTGGTTTCTTTGCAGTCTTCAATAGTAATTTATTATTTGGTATCTTTTTTATGTTAATTATTATTGAACTGGTAGAGTGTGAGAAATAAACCCTCAGAGACAATAGAGCTCAACTAGAGAACAGGGGTCATTTGAAACTTTTATAGGTCCAACGTGGTGCTCTATTCCTTAAACTTTCATTCATATGCATAGATTTCCAAAATTTGGGCATTATTAGGAGGTTTGCAGGAAGAGCCTTGGGACATTATAAACACTAATACTATTTATTTATTTTTTAAATTTGAAACTACGGAAACATATAGAATGTGGTTTCTTTGCAGTCTTCAATAGTAATTTATTATTTGGTATCTTTTTTATGTTAATTATTATTGAACTGGTTTTGAAACATTTTGAATACACTTATATTTGGGACTATATATATATATATATATATATATATATATATATATTCATGTTTCAGGGTTGAATGTTACAGATTGGCTGTCAAAAAAGTTAAAACTCGATATTTTTATTTAAATTAAAGCACACTTTATGTCAAATTAAATCCATTAAAAAAGTTCACCATAACGAATATTTGTAAACTGATATTTCTAATGAAAAATAATTTGTATTTGTACAAGTTATTTAGCATTATGTACTAAACAAAGTTAAATTGATTACCAAATGTGACAAAACGTACTATTCTGTTAATTATATCATTGTAAAATGCAAACACACAAAGTTAAAAACTGCTTTTAACTTCAGTTCCATTAGTGTCACTTAAAGATCCACAAATGTCTCTGTATCTGCACATACATATACGTCACATACGTCAACCTGTAGTCAATGGGGTTTTATCTGGTATTAGATGACAAGCATTCAACAGCTTCCCGAGGGAATTTTTATTATAGGATCAAGCTGTTATTAGCATCTGAATAGGCACATGTCTATTGTTCAGTGTGGGAAAGCTCTGGTACCCAGAATCACAGCTCAGTGTCATTAGCATCCCAAAACCCTCAATAAAACTCAATATTTTGTGACTCTGAAACGAGAGAAAACAGCCCTGCTCTCATCCATATCAAAGGTTTAAAAACCCAGTCCACTTTTGAAAATTTAGGTTAAAAAAAATGTAATTGACCAGTCAGTCTGTAGCTTTAAACACACTGAAATGACCCAAATCTATTTACTATCTACAAAGTCGCAAATAGAAGTGTATTTAAAATGTCTATTAGTTTAGCATAAGCAAAACATAAGAAAAATCCCTCAAATTCCACAATCAAATCACTCATGCCATTTAAGCCACATTCACTCCCAAAAGGATTTTTTTTTTTTTTTATAAAAATAAGCGAAAAGCTGCATCTTTGTAATAAACAAATCCATCATTAAGGATTTTTAACTTTATACCGTTGCTTCCTGTTTAAATATGAGTCCATAATCCATAATAATGCTTCCTCCAGTGAAAAAGTCCATCTCCTGTTTCTCACAATCCACAAACATATTTGTGTAGAACTATTTTGGATTGTTTGGCTTGTAAACAGTGCTTGATCTCTGCAGATTTTTCTCCTGATTCAGACCAGACAATTTTTTCTCTGCAATATCATGGATAGAGGACACATATTTTAGCCGGAAGCAACAGTTTGAAGTAAAAAATAAAAAATAAAAAGCATGGAAATGATGGATTTGTTTCTTACAAATGCAGCTCTTTACTTCACAAGACATTAATTGATGGACTGGAGTGGTGTGGATTACTTGTGAATTATTGTGATGTTTTTATCAGGACTCTCATTCTGACGGCACCCATTCACTGCAGAGGATCCATTGGTGAACAAGTGATGCAATGCTACATTTCTACAAGTCTGTTCCCATGAAGATACAAACTCATTTACATCTTGGATGGCCTGAGGGTGAGTACATTTTCAGCAAAAACAATTATGTTTTCAGAAATATTACAAAAGGGGCTATTTTAACTCTTTACTCATTAAAAACAACTCAAGAACACAGTCATGAGCAGCTTGATAAACAAACCCCAGGAATAATTAATGCTTGTTGATAACTGAATCATTCATGAATAATGAAAACAGTCTGGCGTACTCTAAATGAATAGACAAAATCACAGATCTTTTTTTTTTTGATTGTTTTATTTCGCCACAGGCTGATTGAAATACATTCAATGGCCTTTGTGTTTCATAATTTAAAACGAATTCCTTCACAGAAGGAAACAACATTTCACTTACACAGTGAAAAGGTTTTTACAATGGTTCAAGAAATAAATACCCTTATAAAAGGCAGTTCAGAAGCACAGTACATGGTACTGACAGAAAGATGAGGTATAACCTCTTGAAAATAAATCCATGATCCTTTCAGATCTGCATATTATTTCCTCAGAAACACAAATACGAGCCCAGCTGGGTTTCAAATAAATCTCAACAAGATAGAAAACAATCAAAAATATTAATTAAAAATGTTGGACACTGACAAACTCTTGGCCAAATTTATAAAACACGAGTAACATGTTGTTCAGATTAGATAATTTTGATAATCTTTCAAATTTGAACGAAATATAAAGACTTATTATAAGCCCAAATTAAGGCACCTTAATACAGGACAGTGACATACTGATACAGGTATCATTTCATCATCATAAAAAAACAAATATGATCAAAAAGATCAATAAATGATTTTCGCCAGTTGCAAAAAATGAAAATTGTTTCAACATGAAACAAAAACAAAGCTGATTTGACTTTACAGTCACATAATGCATCACCACAAATGTGAAAATTATACCCAAAGGATATGAAAAATGCATTTTAATGCACTTTTAGACTAAGAAGTCCAATTAAACCTGCAGAGGCACAGTGTGCCATGATGGTATTTGAACTAAAAATAGTTAAATGACATTTTCTCAAAAAGAGAAAAATCTTCATAGAAGATCGAATCATCAGAGCACTTAGCAGTACAGATATCTCTTCCAAACTGGAACTCATGAATCACTTTTTCTCAAAAAGAGAAACTAAAAGCATAATAGTCCACTAAATCTAGTGTAGACCTTTAGTCTGAGTCTTTAAGGCTCTACCAAGTCCTCCAGATGGCGCTCTTGTTGACATTCATCTCTTTGCTGAAGGTCTTCTGGTCTGGCAGGACACTTTCCCTCCTGTTCTGCTGGAATCAGGCTGCTGCTTGAGGAACTCTGGAGCCAGAAGACACTTGAGCTGCTCGATGCTGCTGTTGATACGATCTCTGCACATCTTCTCCACCATCGGCTTTCTCAGCTGCAAATGAAGACAGAAAAGCATCAGGAAAGTGGCCTTCGAATAAACCAGTGATTGAGAAGAGCCGTGAAAGCTGCTGCAGTAATGCTGCTGTAAGTAGGATGTGAATGTACCTTGTTGTTGAGAGGGAGAAGCTCCTTTGAGATGATTGTAGGTGTCATGTCTGGATCTCTGTGCTGTAGATCTCTCTGTTCAGAGTGAGTCTGATTTGCACTGGCTGCAGCTCCTCTATTTATACTCCCAAATCTCCATATGAATGTGTGAGGCTTGAGCTTGTTGGAGTTTCTCACAGTTTGGAGCCAATGGAAGAGCTCAAACAGACAATGAGGGATGTGGGCCGCCACATGCTCAATGATCC